TCTAAGTATCGAGTGTATTATATGTGAAATAAAAGTAGGAATTGAATAGAATGAGGTTATGCTAGTTTGTGAAGCAATTTTACAACAATGTTTGGTAACGCCTGCAGTGCCGACTATTGACTTCCACATGAAACCAATTATATTAAAGTTACATTAGACCCACTGTTTCATCAGGCACTGGCTTTATGTGGCAGCATGTACATATTTAGTTGTGGTGTGTCAGAGTGGGGGTCTGCAGCAGTGATCAGGGTCAGTTACTTCCTCACACTGGTGCTGAGTGACTGTGGCGTGCAGAACTGTCAAGAGGCCAGTGCTGCTTCAACACATGCCAGGACATGGGGGTTGAAGTCCAACACGTGTTTGTAAACAGCTAACGCACAAACACATATGGTGACATTTCCATATATAGCCGAGAGCAAACTGAACCAACAAGATGCTTTCCAGGACATTCAGATATTAAGGCGGGACAATGTAAAAGAGGAACACATCACATGCAGAGACATGCGATATGAGGCCTGACAGTTTGCTGTCGACTGCAATGTGCCATGTCTGAAACAAAAAAACAAACCATGTGATGAAATAAATGAGTTTGTAGCCACAAGAATCAAACACAGACAGGCCCTGAGGATGGTTTTACACTAAATCACATCAAATGCCTGCCACTTTCCTTGAATGTCAAGCTACAACTAAGTTTATGTTTCTAATTGTTCTTGAAGAGGGGACTGGAAAAAAATCACCACAAGACTTTTATTTTGTAGCATTAAAGAACATATGGCAGCCAGATGTGCCTTTACAATATAAAATGTCCATCAATTCTTAATGATGTTCATTCAAACAGATCAGATTTTGAGAGCATTAATCCTCATGTTAATAATACAACAACCATTTAAATTACCTTTTTGATTAGGGGGGAAACAAGGTGAAAATGGTGCTCTAGGCTGCCATGCAACAATTTTAAATGTCCAAACTGACAACGAAGCTGCTCTGCATGTGACTGAGTCCTCTGTTGAATGACTAGATTACAAAGGTTAATGTTCCGTCACACTGATTAAACTGGAACTCATTTAAGTTTCCATAACAACACGCCATGTTGAGGTATGAGGTGGAGGAAATGAAACAGCTTTGACTCGGAACACTTGCTGTTACTTGGATGTTACCATGTACTTCCCCACGTGTGTCTTGTTAATGCCAGGCCTCAGAAAAAAGCAACTCGTTTTCATGTGAGACTAAAGTGGCATTGGAAAACACCCAAAAGCCAAATTGAATTAAATATCCAACATTGTTAATTGAGGACAGCCTGCTCTGTGACAGAACTCCAGAGTAAAAGAAAAAAAAACACTAAAATAGAAACAGCAAAATATTTATTCACCAGTCAAAACATAAACTTCAAAATATGAGGTCTGAGGACTGAACTCCACACTTATGCATGTATGCTGAGACTTCTGTTACCTGAAGACATTTGTTTCAAGGACTCCTATAAGTGCTTAAACAGAATGTACTGTACATACTGTCTCTACTGGGTGTTAGGTTAGCAATAAAAACATACTGACATGATATGCAGCATACCTCCTAAAACCTACTTTGAGATCAGACCCAAATGTCAGAGGGCTTGCAAAGTCCACAAAAAAATATAAATACAAAGTTGTCGTCTGAGAGATAATAATGTTTTAGGAAATGAATTAGCAGGTGGAGCTATCTTAGTCAATGAATATAAATAGGTAGATCTCAGAGATTAGCTTGCAGCATTCATGCAAGATGATGGGTGTGTTTTTGGTACATCTTTATCAGGGAGGGGGACTTTGCAGGAAGTAGGATGGAGGAAGAGTCTATCCAAACTTGTATTCTCCCTCAGTACCAAGCAGGCGAAAAAGGGTGGCAGTGGCTGTGGTGGGTTATCAGTTCTCGAGGAAAGCCACGTAGTCGGTGAGTCTGGCCAACTGCTGCTCGTTTGGAACCAGTGAGATGGGGGGAGGATCTGTTGAGAGAGGCAGAGGAGGAGAAGTTAAGTCAGACGGGGGATTCCTTATTGTGCCAAGGGCTATCGATCGTCTTACATCTCTCTAGTTATAACTCTTCAGTCCACGTGCTCAAGCTCAGACTCAGCAGGGTTTCAAATTCATCCAGACACGAGCTACCTGCCGTCACACTATCGTTTAAAACACTGGCTAGAGAATCTCCCATGTGACCACAAGACAAGAAGAACTCCAGTGTGAGATCCATTCTCCAAACAAAATCACCATGTGGCACTGAAGCGGGAGGGAGGGGGATCCAGACATGTGGGGACTAATTGTGAGCGGGTTAGCGTTTTGGGGCTGGACATGTGCATAGCAGATGCTTCAGCAGTGAGGTTTTAAGATTACAGAGTAAAAGACCAACCACAATATCCTCGTCTGTTTGCACTAAATCAGTAAATCGTTCTGAAGAGATGAACCAATCTGTGACCTTTTAAGTTGAGGACACACAGTACGTGACAAAAGTCTAACAAAATAAAGGAACACAGGTGAAGAAAAATGCAACAGAGAATTTTGAAAATATGGACATCATACAAGGGAGATTTAGCAAATCTAAAACTTTAGCAGTGTCTCAGAAAAGGAAAATGTCTTCCTATGGGATTAAAAGAGACTCCTTAATCCATGTGTCTAATACATTGTGGGAGGATGAGTAGAAGGAAAGTGGGTGCAGGATTACTCATGAAGACAAAACCGTTTGGACAACAGAACCGTGGGCTAGGCACAATTTAAAAGAGCAACACTGCCACCTACCTGGCTTTTTGGGCATCACCATCCTGGTAGTGGGGTCTGCCTGCCAGCCTTGACTCACCACACCTTTGGCCAAAGACAAAAGTGGGAATAGACAAAAAAAAAAAAAAATACACTCATCAGCATATGTTTTGTACTGTATGTATGGAAATGTTCAGCATCAGCACCCCAGCTTTTTTGAAAACAAGAAAACTATGTTTATATTTCCGATGAGAAGGCTGAGCAAATTCAGTCTTACCCTTTACTGCCTCCTCCACAGTGTAGCCAACAAAGGCAGCAAAGTCCTCAGCTGTGATGGACGTGTAGGCCTGGGCAACGAGACTGTATGCCCTTTGCCGTGTGCTCTCTGTGAGGGATCCAAAAACAGCAGAGACATTTATATCATGTAGGTACATATAGAGCACACAGGTGCTTACAATGTGCTCTGCTTCTATTTATAGTACAGACGGTGCATAGGCAACATCAACTTAACGTGAACTCAACAGTATGTTATGTCATTTTAACATGGTATTTAAAAAGTCATGTTTCTTGTAAGCAAAGCCACTAATTAGCAGCAGCACTGGGAGTTTTAGACTCTGTTGAACTATTTATCAGGTTTTTGAAGTCAGGGCTTTTACTCTCCTATGATCATTAGCAGTTACAGATGTGTATGTTTTGGTAAAATGTCAAGTAAATGTAAAAGGCCCACATGGAAAATGTTGCTTTCTCATTTCTCTTCTTGCTGATTTTCTATCGTAAGGTTTGTGAGTGGCAAGTCTAAGTCCAGGTTTAATGAGTTCCTTTTTTTGAACCCAAACACAGGTCACAAAACTATTCTAAACTACATTTCTTGAATAGCTTCACATGCTTTCAGGGTCTGAGTTCAGATGACATGGTACCTTTCATCGGAAGAGAACCTTTGATGTGATTGTGATTTAAGCAAAAAAAACATTTTCCACAAAAAGGACTATTTAATAGTTGTTACATGTTGCATGTTTAAAATGAATCCAGGACGTTACGTGCAGTGCTTACATTCCTGCCCTATTTATCTAGCCTGACTTAAAGTGTTGCTGCAGTCTGTGGAGATACCAGTAAGAGTGACGGGTCCTCACACCAGCATGGATTTGCTGTAGTGTTTTAAAGCCTAGCAACAGTTCATGTGTATCAACAACCAGCTCCCAGTCTGTGGCAGCAGCTAGCAGCAGTAACAATAACAAGTCTGGTGGATGAGAAAAGACAGCTGTGAGGGGAATGCTACAGATTTGTCAGGAGTGCTTTCCCATGCTTCTGTCCAAGCAGCTTCCTGTTCTCTCTGTTATTGTACTTTAATGTTAAAAAATAAAAGATGTGAAAAGGTTGAAAATGCAGACTTGGAAACTGCATTGAAAAAGGGTTTTATTTATCACTTGTGTCTGAAGTTAGATAACAAACTATTAGTAAAGTAGTTGTCCTACATAGATGGAGTTACTTCAGCAGTTATAAGTATGAAACTATGAAGATTAAAATAAACAATTTGAATGTAACTACACGGTTTTGTCATTGTGGTCGTTTTATACAAATGAATGACTTAAAAAATAAGTTAACTACTTTTATAGTTAGTAATAAACTCCCATCTGGTAAAAGTGAATCATGACTCACACTTAAGAAATGCTTCTTGTGTTGGGACAACTTTTTTGCACCTGACAGACTGCATGTTGGAAAAGAAATGAGGACACTGACCAAATGCTCAACACACAGCCAAGCAGGTCATCTCAAGGGGCTTTTTGTAACCCAGCCCCCCAGGCAAACAAGTATTTTTACCATGGCCTCCTGACCGTTAGGAAATGACTACTGTGGCAACTGGACCATCCCCTCCTCAGTATGCCCTTCTGACACTTCAGAGTTGGGTTGGAGCTGCTGAGCAAGTTGTCCATGAGTGGGAGGATGGGCTTTTATTGAGGAACTGGACCTGGTGTCTCCTTCTCAGTCTATTCCAGGGCTGCTATCATTTCTCACCCTCTCACCACTTAAAAATAGCCCCCACTTTTAACCAGCAAAGGCAAAGCAGACAGGGCATGGCAAGGGCTTTTATTTTTAAATATAGTCTATTGCCAAGTAAGAGCAGCAAAAGAAACATTTTGGTGGAAGCACTCATAGAAATGTCTATATGAATAAAATAGCACAGATAATACTGGGCCTCAATGTTTCTTCCTTTCTATATTCTCCCTTCATTCCAATATCACGTTTTAGTTTAAGTTTCATTGCAATGAAGAAAGTAGATGCTTAAATTCATGCAGCTTTATTCCAATGTTCAATTAAAGGCAGACATGGTAACAGTTTCAACACAAACTTGACAAGATGAGAAAAATTACTGACTATTTTCAAAAGCTTCATATGAGGAAATTCGGTGTAAGCCATTTCAGGCCTTCTATATTTACATGACTCTACCCTATTTCACCATTGAAAGGGTTTAGAAGTACAAAAGTATAAAAAGAAATTAAGAAAAGGCACAAATATAACATTGACATAAAATATTGCACTGAAATGCCATTTTAGCCCACAACCACTGTAACCTTATATTTGCTTCAACATCAAACACAGTCCCTTCCATAAACACAAAATCCCTTTAAAGGACATATTTCAGTATTTCCTACAAGTCCCTTAACACTCTGAATTTTCATTATTCCTCCTCCTCTTCCTCTTCCTCTTCTTCTTCTTCTTCCTCTGCATCTTCGAATTCATCCTCATCACACACTCCAAAGTCCATCTTTGCCAGGACTGCTTCAACATGCTCTGTTGACAAAGTGAAGTGGTCCATCTTCTCGAATCCTGGCTCTGGCCTCTCCTCCCCGAGCGAACATTTAGCTGCGTCTTTGGTCTGCACGATGAGGCCCTTGGAAGCTACGAGAAACTCAGCAGCACCACTCTGTTCCAGTGCTCTTACAGCCGAATCTGTGAGCTCTGTACTTGCTTGCAGTCGTTCACCATAACGTTGGGCCAGAGCCCGAAGAGCGGCCACTTTTTCATCTTGCTCTTTACCAATCTGGTCTAGAAGAATGTTCTTGCGGTCTTCAAGAACAGCATACAACAGGTCAAAGCGTTCCGCTAACCCTTGCTTAGCACGCTGAGCATTCTCCTGCACAGCACGGCAGGCATCTTCCATCTGGTTGAGAAGAGCCTGTAGACGCCCATTGCTGGCAACCAGGGTATCGATAGCGTTACTCAGTTCACCTTTCTGTGTCTGGTAAACATTTGCTAAAGGTGCCACCTCACAGTCCTTGTGTTGACCAAACACTTTGCACATGGAGCAGGTGGGCACTTGGCAGGTAACGCAATAGATGTTGATTTTCTCATCTTCGTGTTCTTGGCACATGGGCTCTTTGGATTCTTTAGGCTTAAGGGTAGTTTCTGTAGTTCCACTGCCACTGCCTTCTTGCTGCTGCTTATAGATGTCGATAATATTTTCTACCAATAGGTTGCGCTGGAGCCCATGGACACCATGGCGATCAAGCACGACCTCAAATCGACAAGTAGGGCATCGGAAGACACCACCAGAAAAGCGGTATGGGTTGCGTGAGTCATAGAGGTCACTAGCACAACTACGGCACAAGTTGTGCTGGCAGGGCAGAATGACCACAGGTTTGGTGAACATTTCCAGGCAGATGGGGCAGCTCAGTTGCTTCTCCAGGCTATCCATGGGGCTGGGGGGCCGAACCATAGTTCCTGTCCTCTGAACGTCCATTGTGGAAGTCTTTGCCTACAGCTATACCAGTAAGTTTCCTAATTTCCCAAAGTTTCACTCTCTGTTGAGTTAAAAAAGTAAGAAAAACGGAGGGCAGACTTCTCCTAAGTGTTGCTTGTGATAATGCTGCTATCTGTTCTGGTTGAGAGCTAGCAGATCCGTCCTTTATACCAGCCCCTCACGGCTGGTGACACCCAATCCTTTTGACCAACCACAGCACACATTCCTGCCTGCTTGCTGGCCCTGGATCTTTTCACAGAACTGGCCCCCTCCTACCCAGTGTAACATGTGTCGCGTGCTCTAATGTGCACTGTGTCCCTTCTAACAGTAACAGAAGTGGTGGACAAACAGGGCCCATGTGACTGGTTTACCTGAGAGAGGCAGCACCATCTAATTGGTAAACAAGTCAACATCAACATGCTGTGACCAACTTCTTACATCATTGATTCCATTAATATGAGGTGTTCTATATTTATTTAAGAAAAACAAAGATCTATTTGCTGCTAAATGTAATTAATAAACTGTTAAATTAATAACTAATAGTTTCATATTAAGAAAAAAATAATGTTTGGACTTCCCTGCTGTTTGTAAGGCACTAGTTATTTAGGTAACTGCAAAAGTATTTTTACAAAAGTTATTGGCATATGTTAGCGTTTCTTTTTGGCAATTTTGCCTTTATTTTGGTTGATACAGTGAATGACAACCAGGATATGGGTTGAGAGTGTAGGGGACATGGTAAATGTTCTGGCTGTCTGTGAATCAAACCAGGGACCTAGGACATATATAACCATGTGATTTACACCCCAGACATTAATTTGTCAATACAAAGGGTGAATACAGTATATACCACTGTACTTGTTATTTTACCAAACACTTTTAGATTTAAGATTCAAAAGCCTAATAACATCCACACAGCAATTATCATCACTTGTTGCACAAGTGTCTTATGACATACTGTATGTCATCATCCATGGGAGATAAACACCAAGTACCGTAAACATGTGGGAGAGGCTATTCTTACACTCTTGCACAAGGGAACCATCACATGACACAAATGCCCCAACATTTGTGTGCATGAGAGCGAATACTGTTTTTCAAAACACAACGGAAATATAAAGATGTTCAGTTATTATGAAAGAGTATCTGTGAATCGGTGAATGTGAGCATGGAAATGGATACCTTGTTCTTTATGTTGATTTGTGGCCACCTGGACTACCCTTTATTTATCAATTTCATCCAGATGAGAAATTTCCATTGTTGCAAACTGTTTTAAACACATTTAATTTCCTTTCAGTTGGACTGCATCAGAGCTAGAGCTGTGTTCAGCTTGTGCCCCCTGCTGACTGTTATTCAGAAAGATTCAATGTCCCTACTGGTAATTTCACCACAGCGTCACAGAACCAACTGTGTAAAGCATATAAATCTAATTTGTAAAAAATTAAAAAGCTTTATGACATGTAAAAGGGATGAGGGTTATAACACTAAATAAGACATTTTTGTGGTTACCTCGAAGGGCTTCCATGACTGGAAGAATATTCTCTGTCCATTGGTAGGCTGCGATGGCTGTGTAGATCTCTGGAAAGTCCCGCTGCCAAATGCGTTGGCCAACTGCCCATATAGCTGTTAATTCGGGGTTTGCCTGTACACAACGTGGAGAAGTGTTTCAAAATCTTCCAGTATGCTATATTGGACTAGACATACTACTGTAAACAGCTTTGACACCCAAATAGTTTAAAGATAATTCAAGTACATTTTGAACCTTGGACTTATTTTCACATCTTTTTGGGTTTGTATGATAAATAAGAACAACAATGATTGTTCTGATATTAAGCAAGAACATTACAATAATACACAACTGTGACACAACTTTTCTAAAGGGTTATTTTTCTGTGTTGATCGGCATACACACTTCTCACAACCTTAAAAATGCTTGTCGTCAGATTTTATTTTAATTAATTGACAACCTTATGGATATAATTCTTACAGAGATAGATGTGTGTCTACATCTGACAGGAATCTTGCTCTCAAGGTCTTAAAGTCACATTCTGAAATCTTGTGGAAACTGAGTTGCTACAAGAACACATATCAGAAAATGTAAACACAAGTTACATAGAGCTGTTGGGGAAGAGAGGAGCAAAGTTACAAAGTCCGAGTTTAGAGTTTGTAGCTAGCTCTAAAAAGGGAACAAAAGCTAAGGATGATGATGAGAAACACTTTGCACAGCTTTCACAGGCTACTTTTGGGGGACAGAGTTGTGGATAGTTATTCTACAAATGTTGCCAAATTGTGTTTGCATACACTGTGGCTGTTTTGTGGTTGGTGTTATGGTGTATTGGACAAATTTCACACATTTTTGTCTCAATTAATTAATTGAGGCAAAAAATGGGAATAGAGGGTTCATGATCAAAAAGGAATTCTCCTTTAAAGGTCCAGTGTGTATGATGAGACATGAAAGAGAACATGGTAGCTTCATTTGTCATAAAAACTCAGAAGATGTTTAGTTTGTCCAGTCTGGGCTACAGAAAAAAAAATGGCGGCCACCATAGAGAGGATCCACTACAGTTGTAAATATAAAGTTTTTAAATATAAAAGGGCCCATTGTAGGGTACAGAAAACAATTCGTGAAATTTAGATGAAACACACGCAAAACATCACTAGGACTATTTCATATTCAGTTTCTGTCAATAGGTCACTTTCACCTAAATCTTTCACACTGAACCTTGAAGACACTGGACCAATGATTTACTGTAATTTACATTTTTAACTAACAGATCTAAAGACTAAAATTAGGGGTAGATGCACCACCATAGACTGTATATAAACCACAGATATACAGCACCTTTCTAGTTTTCAGATTTAAATCACATTAACCTTATCAAACACACATGCACACAGCTCATTCTTTATAAATAGCTTGTCTCTAATACACACAAGTGACCCACATACCGATGACACATTATTCGTTGCACAGTTGACTGTCATGACACTAATCTAAAGCACCTCTGGTTGTTTCAGCAGGAACAGACTGTGTGATAAGAAGGCTGGTAAAGTTTCCTATTGTTGTGAATGACCTGCATAATGCAGAATAAAAGACAGCAAATGCTAATGTTACTAAAAACAAGTTGCAATTTATCTACGACTGGGCTATGTTTACGGACAGAGTTGTTTGAGCAGAGGTGTAATGGATTTAATTCTGTATTAGAAATGATATATATTTAACCTAAAGGTACAGTGTGTAGAATTTTGTGATATCTTGAGTTGAAATTGCATGTTGCAGCTGAACACCCCTCACCTCACCCTCTCCTTCCAAACATGAAAAAGAACCTGTGGTAGCTTTAGTTGTCATAAAAACTCAAAAGGTGTTTAGTTTGTTCAGTCTGGACTAATGTAAAAAACATGGCAGCCTCTGTAGAGAGGACCCCCTCCATGTAAATATAAAGTATTTAAATATAAAGGACCTTTTCTGGGGTAAAGAAAACTACAATTCATAGAACTTAGATGAACTAGTGAAAACAACATGAGGATTATTCTGTTATTATGGAAGTTATTGTTAAATTTCTGCCAATAGATCCCTTTCACCTAAATCTTACCCACCTTTAATCAATAGACCTCAGCTAATGTCAGACAGTCATATCAACTTGCTTTTGAGAAGTCCAGCATTGGTTAGACTTGGTCAGATATATCAGTAAAAACATTGGTACATTTCATGTAACCAAAACAGCATGAGCAGGGAAGAGCAGGAAAATCACATGCATCATAATGAGACAGTTTTCACATGCTTACCGATTTTATCGCTTGGGGAACCCTCTTCCATAGATACCTGGCATTATTCCTGTTGGATGCACAGGAACAAATTGTCACACAGAAGACAGGGTCATCAACAGAACAGACTTTACATGTATATGTTGAGGTTTATTATACGCACATGTACTAACAAACAAAACATTTCCATCAACTGCTCTTCCTGCTGAGTGCACACACTCAGATAATTCCTTTTTTGAATTAGCAGGAATTTGGCAATTCTAGGAAAGAAAATGAGATTTGAGTCATGGTGTTAAAACGTTAAGTAGAGATACGCCCGAGCATATACTTGAGCTGAAACACCTAGATTACAGTGACAGTGTGATTAGTGATCACTACAACCATGTTTATACTGTGATCCATTATTTTGCGGAACATAGTTTGGATGCACAACAACATGTGCTACGAAGACATGAGAAGGAAGAAGGGAATCTGGAGGAAGAGAGGGGAAGATAGAGAGTATATCTCTTTGCCTTGGTATCTGTTGAATGAATGATGAAAAACAAACACCCACACGGCTCAAATCAGACCACGTTAGTATAATATAACCTCTATCTGCTGCTGAGGACAGACGAGAGTTGACTTACATGTCATTGTGTAGTAAATAGAGAGCCAGCAACTGGGCGTAGACTTGAGGCGTTGCAATGCCCCCTGGAGCCTGGATGGAATAAATACAAGTGTGACATTAACGCTTGAAGATTCAATGAGCACACATGTAAGATATTTTAAGACAGTAACCATGACAGCCAGCACGAGCATCTCGTGAGTCGTGCTGTTGTCCCTTTAGCTTCCTGCTAACGCTGTCGTTCCGGTGAGCAACCTCACAGTATTACTGTATTTACGAAGGTAAATGGTCAGCCCTAATGTTACCTGAAGTCATAGAGCGAGCCTATGCATGTGTTGAAAAGCTATGAAGTCCACAATGTGAAAATATCATCGTGCTAACTCTAGTTGTGTTTACCAACATAGCAATTTAATCACCTTATTTAGCCTGCTAGCTCCCACTGGATGCTAACAGCACACATACACGCCATGTGCCACTTATGTTCAACTGAGATGAGTTTGTTGGTATTGTCTTCATGACAAATGTTCACTGATGAGCAAATTCGAAGCGTAAATTGATTTAAACAGTGCCTGAAAGTTAAACTGCCCTGAAACCGGCTAGCTACCTAGCTACAACGTTAGCCGAAACAGGTCAGCTGCTACCTGGCGAGTCACAAAGCCTGGAGAGGCAGAGCGCCTGTGAGACAACAGTGTTGGTGCACAGACACATGGGTTCCTTACCTCGAGTTCTTGAGCTTCACACTGCTCTAATAACTTATCATAATTTTCCTCCATAATCACAGCAGTAGGCATGATGATGCCTAGCTGTTGCACCGGAATCTTCTTCTTCCGTATAAGTGCAAGCAGGTCTGCAGCCCGTGACATGTGCTGCCGCCCCCATGTGTTCGAAGCAAACATTGCTACTTATTCCTCTTGTCAGTCGTCAGGCCCTCCTGCTGCTGTTGGCTCTACACGTTTCATTCCCTCCATCATGGCTTCTCTCTCTGCTGAATATTACCTAACCAGCTCACAGTTTCAAACACTGCACAATAACCACAAATCATAATTCAATTCTTCGCTAAAATATGAAGTGTACTGTTGAGAACAACAGTGTCCTTTTCTATTTCCTTCCCCACCCGAGAAAATAATACAGATGTTGACATTTTCCTCTTTAATAGCTTTTTGGCTTGTTTTTCCACTCTTTTTGTTATATATAATGCCTCTGATTCAAATGAATATTGACCTCAGTGCCTTGTTTCCATATTCTTAGATTTATTGATGCTATTCCATAAAATCAATTCAGTGATCTATGTTCAAGGTTTTTACTTTTTTTACTCAACAGTGATCAGTCTCTCTTTTTAATTA